GGGGCTCTGGGTTTGGGGCCGGCCGCGCCATGGTGAGCGCTGCCGGCTGGCCGCTGCTGCGGGCCCGAAGAACGCTTATTACTCGATCAGGTTTCTCCCGAAAGATTAAACTTGTATTAAGGCAGCTCGTATTTATGGTCATATTTAAAAACTTGTTGAGGGCCCTGCTGCTGCGGCCGTGGTGGCTGGTAGAGGGGGGGGGGGGACGTCGTGCGATAAGTTTGGCCGGTAATGAGTGGCCGGCACGACGGAATTCCGCTATTTCATGAGGGAGGATAAGGAGGAGAGAGAGAGTTTTCCTCGTCATGCCAAGAGCCCAGTCACACGAGCGAGCGGCAGCGGCGGAGCGGCGGGGTTTGGCGCTCAAATACTGCTGCACCCGGCCTCCTCTTATTCCTTTTGCTCCCGCTGCTCCCCCGGTGTGCTGTCAGGCGCGACATGCACCGTTTTTATCATTTTTCGGTCCTCGCTCGACGCATAGCGAGGCGGCGAGCGGCCCGAGGGGAGAGCTGGGGACGGCGCGGCCTCCCCGCCGGCGCCGGCCGGCCTCCCCAGGATGGCGCTGATGACGGCGTGTTTGACTTGCACCAATTAGCGGCGCAAACACGGGGCGGGGCGGGGCGGGGCAGCGCAGACACTATGGGGCAGGATGTGACATGGGCCGCACCCATTCCTGAGGGGGGCAGACGGACGGAGGGGGGCAGGCAAACCAAGAGCCGGGCGTGGCCCGCGCGGCCCCCGCCCCCTCTGCTGCTAACAGTAGCAACTTTGGCGCCCCCCCGGCCCGGAGCCTCGGGGCCACGCGCTGCCGCTCCCCGCGCCGCGCCCCGCGCCGCTCCCCGCGCCGCGCCCCCACCGGGGCCAGGACCATGTCGCCGGGGCTGTGTCAACATTTAGGCGCGGACAAGTTAGTGAACTGTGTTCGCCGTGGCAAATAATAAAGTGGCAGCGAGTGGCGCGGGCCCGGGGGGAAGGGGGGAAGGGGAAGAGAGGGAAAGGACGACGACGACGACTGCGCGCCGCCCGCCGCTGCTGGTATGTCCACTCCACGCCGCGTTCACCGTTGCTGTAGAAATGTGTTCGCAAATTTACAACATTGTCTGTAAATCATCTTCTAAATTTTTAAAAATATATTTTTCACAGTGCCGAAAATTTACTTATGACATTAAACTGTCCAATTCCTCATTGCAATTTTCATGTAAATTACTGTATACTGTATGGTTTACGGAAAGGATTGTACATGAACGGTCCAGACTGCTTCCTTTAATCGGAAGATACAGTACAATATTTCAAAATTTAAGATTTTTTTTTTTTGTAAATCACGGTATAAAACTGATAATGTTGCGGATGTTTTTTGTTTTTTTTTTTGCTGTGGGCCCGTTGCCTGCGCCCGCGCATGGTGCACCCCTCCCTTTTCCTTTGTCCAGCAGACAGCATGCGTTACTAGACGCAGGCGCCCGGCTCCCCATGCCCCTTCCTTTCCCACGCTATTAATTCTCTCTTTGCAGGCAGAAAGAGAGATACGTATGCGACTTTGGTTTGGAGCAGCGAGCGCATGCATATGACAGGAGGAGCGAAGACACACTTCCACCGACACACACACCCACACACACCCACTCACACAGTAGAGCGCGTGGACTCATTCTCATGGCTCAAAGGAGAGAGTCGCTCGGCGGGGGAGGTGTGCGGCAGCGGGAGGGAGGAGAGTTGTTGCTTTCAGTAATAACTAACTTGCCGTAGAGATAGTGGAAGGTAAGGAGGGAGGCGACGACGCGGCGGCACACAACCTTCAATCCAAAGAGCGTACACTGTTGGCGAGAGAGCGACGTCAAGTCTGCGGCTGACATGAATCCTTTCACCAAAACATGAAGTGAAAAAAAAAGAGACAGTCTAAACAGAGTAGCATTTTGGAACGCATGCTGTAGTAAAGTTTGTCACCTGATTCTTATGTAACTTTGTTGTAAATTGTGTTGTGATGTTGCTTCCTGGGAAATTCAAAGACTCAGCCATACCACCTAGTTTTTGGCATCTAGGGAAATGCAGCACCGTCAGCGGGGTGGTCGCGGTGCGGTATTGTATTAAATTGATTAAGAAATGGTAATTTAGACAGTTAGTGACAGTGTTTGGCAGTGGCAAAGTCGCCTTAATCGTTAGCTGCGGTGGTCGGCCTGATGGCATCCTTTCCCACCCTCCCTTTCCCTCTCCTCCTCTTTTCCCCTCTCTCTCGTTCGTCCACCTTCCTTTTTACGCCCCACCCCCTCCCCCGACGAACCCCTTCTTTTTCGTGTCCCATGCAAAGAGTAGTCCATTAGTTATGCAAACGCAAATATTCCTCCGCGCCGTCTTTCTTTGGCCGGGTGGCGTGGCGCTGCGTGGCGCCTTATGGCGCCGCCCCTCCCTTGGGTCTCTCGGCATCCCTCGGCGTCCCTCGGCGTCCTCAACCCTACCCCGGCGCAGCCCTAGTCCGACGGGGACTGGACCTGAGCAGGAGGAAGCGGAAGAGAAAAGAAATATCGGCCAGATGCACAGCAGTTGGTCCGCAAACTTGTTTTACCTTTTTCTTTCTACGGTAGTGTTTGTTCATTTTATCTTTTTTGGCTGGGCTGCAATCAGCTCGTCATCGTAGAAATTAAATTTTCAAAAACGTCTCATAATTAGCAGCTGTTGAGTCTTCAGTCGCTGAAAAAAGGATTGTATCTAAACTACGCTAGCGGAGTTTATCAGTCAACTGATAAAACGAGATGACTTCTATTCTTTGAGCAAGGTTGAAAAACAAAATCTTGGAGATGAACTCATTTACAGCAGTTAAAGATAATGTACCATTTTAGGGTAATGTCTTCGCGGCTAAAAAATATTCCGACCACCTCAATATTTGGCGCGTATTTTTAATTTCTTTACCAGCAGAACAGGCCTCCAAATTCAAGAAGAATTTAGGGAAAAAAAATAGTTTTTTTTTTTGTTCTGAACCCCTTTTAATCAAGTGGCTGCCTGCTATGCGACACATGACAGTGGCGTCATCCCTGCGACATAATACAGGACGATAGGTGGGGCGGATGGTGGGGCGGAGCGCTGCAGTGGCGCGGCGTGGCGGGGGTGGGATGATTTATCGTCCACTATCTATAGCATTTTAAAGCGCTGCGCTTGCAGGGGCTGGTCGCTAATGGCCGCTAAGTGGTGCTTGTGTGTGTGAGAGCGCAGTGTCGTCTGTATGTGTCCTTGTGTGTGTGAGGCGCGCGCGCACTGGACGAGGGGGTGGTTTGACACCTATTGTCCTTCAGTCGGCGATTGCGAATCAGCAATAAAATTATTGCCATTGCAAGCAGATTCCGATTTCTCGCCCAATCTCCTCCTTTGTTTGATACATGTCGAGCAGGGCGACTTTTTTGAAATGTCTCTCCCGAATTCGATTTAGGCGGGACAAGACAATAAGTTCCTCGGTGCTCCTCGCCGGCGCCCGCCCTCCGCGGGTGGCCCCTTCGGAGACAGCCGCCCGGTGCAGACGTGACGCTGCTACGTGAACGGTTCTGTCCCATCCTGGAGATCCTTTTCTCTCCCGCAGACACGTTGGTCGCGCACCGCGTGTCCAACTGGGGAACTCGGCAGGTATATAGTCATCATTGTTTGCGACATCCGCGCCGCACCCAGAGCCTGCGACTGAAGCCGAGAGAGAGCACCACACATTAAATGTATTTGTATGTTTTTATTTTTTTGAAAACGTTCGTCCCCAGTGAAACCTACGTTTCGTTTCTGACAAATTCAGACAAATTAATGCGCCAAAGTTTATGGCTTCTCTTATTTGTCTGCACAAAAGTGTCCAAATCAACACAAATGTGTGCACAAAATCTGTTTGCTTGAATTAGTAAAACTAGGAGATACAAACCCAGTAAGTGCGTACATGGTGCTCTGCTCTGCCTAGAAAACCGACTTTGGGAATCGGAAATCGACTCAACTCAGGCGGTGGGAGCAGCAGTTGTGGCGCCTGGTGACTGCTCGCGAGGAGGCCGCGAGGAAAGAGGGAGAACTCGTCATGAAGTTGAAGACTCACAAAATCGTGAGATTTTCCGACTTTCCCTTTACTCCCCGTCGCGTTTTCTTGACGTATCTGTGATGGTTTTCACGCCGTTTTCATGGCGCACCCCTGCGATGATTTTGAGGGAGAGTCGGGGGGAAGGACAGGGCACGGCACGGACAAACAAAAACGAGTAAAAACCATGCGAGTTAATGGAAGTATAATTTGTGCGGTAAGCCGCGATGAGTATCTCTGTGGGTGTTTAGGCCGACTGCTGATGTATGCACAAAACTGTGTTTGTTTTTTTGCTGATACGATCTGTGTGTATGTTGCAGATGTGGTGGGGGTCATGGCTGCTAGTGTTGGCCGCGGCCGTCGCGGCCCTCGCGGCCCTGGCCTCCCCGGCGCTCGCCTCGCCATGCTCCTTCAACTCCATGTGCACTTGCAAGGACAAGGAGGTGGCGTGCGTCGGCGTGCCCTTTCATCACTTACCGGGTAAGGCAAAAATCACGATCGCTACTTGACAAATACATCCAGGAAAGCTGTTTCTTGTTTTTCAAGTTCATTTTATTTTCTTGTTTTAAGTACAGTAAGTTCATTAGCTGCCACTATCTTTCGAATAAGAGAAAATAATCATGCCAATGACAGTATATTGCCTTGGTTAAAGAGTGATCTTTTTTCAGCATGCACTTACTTGAAACCTGAAACGATTTCTCCTTGTGCGTACGATATGTGCAGTTGTTTTCGGAATCAATTTTTTCACGTTTACCAAGAGAAAAGAATGGAATGAATATTTAAGCTGTCGATCGTCGCTCCTTGTTACTTTTGTTTCCGTTGATAGATCATCCCCGGCTGTGATGTTTCGCTAACAACAACAGTCGCTGTTAGTTTGTATCCTGATCGCGAGCGCCCTGCCCTCGGCCCCACCCCAGCTCGCGGCCGGCACAATCGTTGAGACAGAGCCATAAATCCACTAGGGCCGATTGTTTGCTGTAAATAATAAAGGTTGTGTGTGGGGTGGGCTGGCTGGCTGGGCGATGAGCTATCGACGTGTCGCTGTCAACGCTCCGCTGGAGCCCCTGGCTGGAGCCCCTGGCTGGAGCGAGCCCATTGTCTGCTGGAGCCAAAGCCAATGGATGTGTGCGTGTTGCAGAGCTGCCGCACGAGCCGCTGGAGCACCTGGACGTGGTGCGCGCCGGGCTGCCGTGGCTGGAGAACGACGCGCTGGGTGGCGTGCGCGTCGCCTCGCTGCGCCTCATGAGCAACAGCCTCCAGCGGGTGGCGCCCAGGGCCTTCTCGTAAGTATCATCACACTGTTGTTGGGCTAGAAAAACAACGGTATTCACTAGAAACCCAAGGGTATTGATGTCGCACACTTGTACGTGTGCAAATGCCTATTCGTACCGTACACACTGAAGCAGGGAGTAGAGGTGTGAAGTTTCCTTTGAATTTCTTGTGCCTTCATGTGTACGAATGTCGTTTACACACCTACAAGTGCGTATCATTCGCACACTTGAGTTGCCGGTATAAAGATTTGATGCTGAAATTTTGAAGCTTTACTAGGCGCGATGTCCACTGCTTTTTCACTGCGGCTTTAGGCGTGCTATTTTTCTTGAGCCAATAATTATTGTCCCTCCGAATGGCGAAGAGGGTTAGTTGTTAGTTTGTGAAATGACTGTGTAGAGTGCGTGCCGGTGTCGCGATGTGCCTTGCGCCGCTGTGCTATGCTGTGCGCGCTGCACGGCTCGGCTCCGCATGCCTACCTGGCTGCTGCTGGTGCCGGTGCTAAAAGTCTGTGTGTTCGCGTTCCGCGCTTGGCAACTATCACATAAGCCGCTTTACCCCTTAGAGTATTCGTGTGAGTGTGAAGGGTAGGGGGGGGGGGGTATCGTGTCTCGGTATGGGAACAACGGCTGCGCCCACCTGCGACTTACGCCGGGGAGGAGGACGAGAAGAAGAGGGGGGGGGGGATGACTCGCCCCGAGGGGCCTAGCGGCGGCAGGCAGGCTCGATACATCCCCTATATCTCCCTCATTTGCGGGCGGAACACGGGTGTGTGGGGGGGGGAGGGAAGGCAGCAGCCTTGTGGGCTCCAAACTTGGAGAGCGCCGCCCCCACCGGTCCGCCAGCGCCCCCACACCCCCCGCTCCCCCCTGGCTTTGTCTCTCTACACTACCGTCATTATCCCCCACGTCGCTGACTCGCCTCTTTTTCCGCTCGTGTCGGCTTTTAATGAACGGGAGCTTGGGCGGCGGCGGCCGTCTGTTTCGAGGAACCTGTTCGCGAAGGCCGTGGCAAGCGAAATGATTAGGAGAGAGCAGCTCGCCGCGCCCGCCGTCGCTTCCAATCCCATCGCAAGCTCTGCGCGGCGCTCTCGCCCGTCCCGTCGCTCGCGTGTCCAGCCGCGCTTACCTGAGCGATAATGACCTGGCTCATTACATTACGATCGACCCCGCCTAATGGAATGTCGTCTGCTGCGACCCCGTTCAGTTAGTCGCATGCTGGGCAGTCATCCTCGCAGGCGGGGGGAGGGGGCGGGGAGGAAATGGCGACGAGGTGCCAAACTGCTACCCTGTTTCAAGCCGGATTTGAACGATATCCCAGAGCGGAAATGGAAAAAATATCCGGAGGGCCGGCGGGGCGTGTGCTCGGCGCGCGCGTAAATGACTTGCTGAGTAAGAGTGGAGGGTTCCAGGGCCTTGTGGAAAGGAGAACGCATCGCACGTAACGTGCGGAGGTGCGACTCAGCAATTCTTTGTCCGTTCATGAATGCTACTTTATGAATACTTTTTGCACTCCAACGGCAATGTGCCCTCAGCCTGGATCATTTCTACGTTTCCGTCCCCCCCCCTCTCTCTCTCTCTCTCTCTCTCTGACCCTCCCGCTCTAATGCGCGGGTGCGTTGGGGCGAGCTGCCCTCTCGCAGTCTGCTCGTCCTGGCTGTCAGCCTCTGTCAGTTCGTGTCAGGTCCTACTCTGATGGTCTGACGGCAGAGCGTCGTTCGTTTCTGACTCGGCCGAACGACCCGCGCCGACCTGTCTCAGACTACCCTGCAGGTGATTGGTCAGAGGGCCCCTTCTCCTCACCCCTTCCCTTACCTGCGAGCGCGCTGTTGAAACCCTTCACTGGAAGCCGGAAGCGTGCGAGATTTACAGTAGCTTACAGTGAATCTGCACTACAACTTAGTTAACCGTCTACAACGTAGCATAGCACAATTCAGTGAAAGGAAACTAGATGAGATGTCTGCCAAAAACTTAAAAGTTTCCTAAATTATCCACCTGCGTGTAAACCTTATCCAGGCCCAGGTCAAAAAAGTTAGGAGAGTAATATCTAGAGAAGTGTTTTATTTTCAAAATATCCTACAATGGCGTTCGAGGACGCTTACATTTCTGCAGTTGTATCCTGCTGCCAATAGGAAAACAATCCGGACCCAACAAAGTCGACATGAAGGCATTTACTCATTTGCTTTGGGAATTCAATCGAGGAATTTCGGTCCAACAAAGGTCCTCATCGGCCAAGGATGAGTACTCCTTGTACTCGATACAGCCCTCCCACACCCGCTCTCCTCGATGACACTCCAGTTTACAGTTCTTGCACACGCGCCTGCCCCCAGGAGGGCAGAAGCGGCCCGCGCGCACTAGCAGCTTGAGAGACGGGTTCGACGACAACGCGGTGGCCACCGGGCGCCGGTGCAGAAAGCGGTGAGCGCATCCACTGTCGTGATGCCACGGCTGTTCCTTGAGGGTGCGCAGGGCCGGGGCCGAGGCGGGAGTGATGGCTCGCAGCAGCTTGTCCGTCAGGTTATCAACCTGCAGCGTGCGCAGGGCTGGCATCGAGGGCAGGGCTTTGAGGAGCGGACCGTCCTGAGGAGTAGGGTCACGCCCATAGAAACTGCTCTCACTTAAGTTTTCGAGATCAATCGTCAACGATTGAATGCGGGAGGGGCCGCGTGAGACCACGGCCAGGAGCAGCTCGCCGGGTCCGAACTTGATGCCACCAAAGGAAATGGTTACATGTTCGCTGTACTTCAGCGTGACGTCGCGTAGCTGGTGAGCCCGATGCAGTAGCTCTACGGCCCCCTTGGAGCCACGGGACGAGTTGTCCAAATGGAAAGTGATCTTCTCCAGTGACTCGCACGCCAGCAGGGCCTCTAGCCCACCGAAAATGGGGCAGTTCAGTTCTCGAAGCTTCGGCATGTTGGCGAGCAGGAGCGCCACTTTGTCGGGGAAGCAGTAGGTGCTCTGGAGCTGCACCTCCTCCAGGGTGGCGGCGTGCTCGGCCAGCACCACGGGGTAGAAGGTCTCCATCGCATTTGCACAACACCTGACACTCTTCAGAGACGACCTGGGCATCGGCCTGTGCGCGCTGGGCGGGGGGAGCTCAAAGCGGGCACTGTTATTGTTGTACAGATAAACTGCAAGCTTCTCCAGGCCAGACACCGACGTTGCGGCCCAGACCAGATCGTAACTTTTGGCGTTGTCGCTTTTCGAATTCAAATTGAGCTCGATGCCCTTCAGCCTGCCAAGCGCCTCCTGGTGGTGGAGGACCCGGTTCGCATGCTCAGCACCCTTGTCCTCGACGAGCACCCTCAGCTCCGACACGGCACACCTAGTCGTCTCCAGCAGCGTCTCGCACCCGGAGAACGGCAGGCGGATGTGGAGGCTCTTGAGGCACGGCGCCAGGCGCAGCACCGTACGCAGCCAGGGCTCCTTCTCGGGGACAGAGTGGTGCTGCCACACGCGAGGGTCCAGGGCAAGGGCCCCGAGCCTCTTGCACACGAGTTGCAGGGCGATGAGGTCCCGCACGCCCAGGTACTGCATCACCATCAGCAGCAGATTGTCCGACATCTCGACCAGCTCCATGCTCTGCAAAAACACAGTCTATTAGCTTCCTACAACGAAAAAGCAAAGGTGCGGCATAGAACAGTCGCTACTGCACCAGTGCCCTGGTGACTGCCAGTGACGACGTTCGCTAGCTCGAGTACGTACTAGTGAGTACTATAGAGTATTAATATTTAAACAATGTATTCGCAAGGGGGGGGGGGGGTCAACTACACTTTTTTTGTGTGTCTAACTTTGACAGAGTCCCCACACCTCCCAGAATGTTACAGCAAAAAACGGGGGGCGGGAAACTTTTTAACGTCCAGATGACTACACTCAAAATGTGTAGGGACAACTTTGTTCCTAAAAACGTTTTCGTGCAGACCGGATCCAAATTTGTTGCGTAATTTGGACAAACTGTGTTAAGTTCTAGATAATTTGCCCTGTTTAAGGAAAAAATTGCATCCAGTCTGGGGTGTGCATGAAATCGTTGCCATTTTATGAACAAAGTTGTCCCCGTACATTTAGAGTGCATATACACTGGAAAAACAGACGTTACCGAGGTAACGTTTCTTGATGCGACCCTACCAGAGGTCTGCATCGGTCGGTCCACCAGTCCCGGGAGCGCACGAAAAGCAACATGTGCGAGTGAGATGGAGCTGCGGCCCGCTCGGGCATCTCACTCGCACCCGTCGCTCTCGGACGCTCCCGGGACTGTTGGACCGACCGACGCAGACATCTAGACCACACCAGGTAGCGTTTGGTGATGCAACCAGTTTGTGATGGTCCTATCCTTTTGCATGGTCGCATCAGGAAACGTTACCGGTCTTGGTCACATGAAGAAACGTGACCATGGTAACATTAGTTTTTCCAGTGTAACTATTCCTCTCGATAGCTATTACAAGTGGCAAGTTGACGGCAGGTAGGAGAGAAAGTCGAACGCCCTGTCCCTCTCCTCTTTCCGTAGCCGCAAGTGCGCCAGCCTAACCCGGGAATCCCTGATCAGGAAATACCCCCGCACACACGTTAACAGGGTGTTCCGTAGGCTCCCGCCGCAACCCAAGTCCACGATGCCCACGGTGCCTTAGCCTGAGTTTTAACAGGTCGGTCAAAATGAGGATATTACTCGAAAGGTTACGCAGCCGCTGCTGGTGTTCGCCACTTTGGCTGCATCAGCTTAAGCGAGTGCTGTCGGGAAGCAGACAGCAAACAGCAGACAGAAAATACCGATAATTTTACAATTATATGTCCAATTTTCGGCATGGAATTAATTTTTACCATTCAAATATTATTTTCTGAACTGAGAAAATATAAACATGGATGCAAATCGGGTTCAATCGGGAGATGCATTTCGCTGTCGTGCTATCGTGCTGTTCCGACGACAGATCTCCCGATTATACCCGATTTGAGCACATATTTAAATTTTTAAAGTTCAGAAAATAAATACCTGCGAGACAGAACATAAGATTTTATGCTGAAATATTAATGAAAATTGGTAAAATCGCCATCTGCTGTGTGCATTCCGAGAGCACTTCCTTCAGCTGATGCAGCCGTTGAGGGGGAATGTGATCATACGCATTGACATCTGAAGTGCCCAAATCGCACATATTCTCCGAGTTTAACAATTTCAAATACGTAGTAATTAAAACGACACACGTGATGGAAAAATTATCCGTAAACCTACGACTATTTTTCTCTGTGCATGCTGTCTCAACTGACTATCACGGTAAAAACAATGTCTCATTTTTGGAGGGAAAAGGGAAAACTTTGAGGAAATCCCTTGGTTTGAGGAAAGCTTCACAGATTTCGAGGTGGTCTCCTAAAAAAATGTGTGATTTTTCCACAATTTTAGAGGAGCTTCCTCAAAACCTGAGGCGAGATCCGAGAAGTTTTCCTCAAATATGGGAGGTCCTCAAAGTTTTCTCTCCCCCCCCCCATAAAAAAGAGGCATTGATGTTACCGTGCTCAGGTTTTCGCAAACAAGGACTTTCGGAGGGGGAAAAGGCGACTCTCGGCGAGCCGCACAGTGCACACTTGTACTATTTTGTGCATAGCTACGTACAACAAATGTCAACGCACAAAACTTATACGTATTTGTACGTAACTATGTATAATAGTGTACGTAAGCATGCATCGCTTTAAATTTTGCGTACGTTACGTATATGCATAGTTTGTACGTAAGCTACGTATGAAATAGTACATAGCAATTATGTGTGTGTATAGGAGACCTCTTAGCAAAACTGGATACCCAACAAGCACAACGGTGAACCCTGGCCTTACCGTTTTGGTGAAGTTTGCGGAGATGACTTGATGACCGTCCAGGCTGGATGGTGGACCTCAACTGAGACGTGAGACGAGACGAGCACGAGCGAGCGGAGCGGCCTCGGGAGCGACTGGCGACTGACTGGCGACAGCGACGAGGACGAGCACGAGCTTGGTGAGCGGACCCGCCACGAGGGGATTTCCGTGTGCTTCCGCCAACCAGGGCTGCCAGGTCCGGAGTGAGTCAAGTCGCCAGAAGAGGGCGCTCGAGTCGCCAATCATCGCCAGCCGCCCAAGTCGCCAAAAATCGCCCGCCACAGATTCAAATCGCCAAAAATCGCCAACCTTTTAGTGGGATAGCCAAAAAAGAGGCAATGTAAAATTGAACTCGGGTAGCACCCAAGAGTCAGCAAATGTGACAATGTAGCGAGCTGCTAGGCCCATTTCTTAGAAATTCATCTCCCCCGGGCCGGGAAAGTACTCAATCCCTTCGTAATCCTCGCTTCCGTGGGGTCAGGTAGCCCGACTCACCCAGGATCGCCAAACTTGGAGCTCAGTCGCCAAAAATCGCCAGGCCAAAACACGAATCGCCAAAAAAATCGCCTGGCGCCAGGCCGTCTTTTCAAGTCGCCAAACCCGACCTACAATCGCCAATTTGGCGACAAATCGCCAAACCTGGCAGCTCTGCCGCCAACCTTGCGCCGCAGGGCTTGTGGGCGACCCGCTTGGGGAACAGCTCGGCTTCGCTCGGCAGCACTCCGCGGCGGCCTCGGGTCCCGAGGCTCCTGGCGGACGGTCTCCACCTCCCCGATGTCGCCCCACCCCGTCAGGGGACCAGCGGGACTTGGGTGGCGGCGGGAGTAGAGTAGTCTGATGATCGCTCAAACAACGCAAGGTGTTCGAATCCGAAATGTTCATGAACTGCACGCACATCGCCGGCAGAACATATGCCACGCGGGAGTGCTTCAGTGTACCTGTGCGCGTGCTTTACTCACGGCCCTGTAAGATTCCTTACGCCCTCGGTTGCGGGCGGCTGGGGCTGGGGTCCCAGCCCGGCCCCGGGGCGTGGCGGCGCGTGGCGTGGCGGAG